CAATCTGTCGTCCAAGACGAGTCCATCTGGCTCTTACCAAAGCATACTCAAGTGAATCAACGAACAAGCTGCCATGCCTGTAAAATGTCCCACAGCAGGAGATATTATTCCATTTTTTTGACAAAAATCAGGTGCTGGCGAGGAATTTGCGAGTGAGATACGACGCCAAAGCCATGGTGAGTGTTGTAACGACATTGCTACACATTTTCCAACCTGATACTACGTTGCAGATAACACCCCATCTCAGTCCATGCAACTGGTTGACGTATGACGTCATATCTCTGCAGAACACACTACCCTCTTTTATATCTTCGTCTATGGATGTCTTTCGTCATCATCGAACAAAAGTACTAACTGTAATGTTGGACAAATTCCTTGCAGAACAAGGTGCAGATGGCGTGAGTGACACTTTTGATTGTGCCGTGCTGCCTGATCCACCCACAGCTATGGATGACACCCATTACACTGTGAGTCGGGATGACGATACATCAAAGATCAGAATCGTGAGATCAGATAGGACACCAAACAAGTATGACATTGTTGAGGCTGGTGAACTGTTCCATCCAGATCTTGTTGTTGGTGAGCCCGTTATTATAAATCCATGTTCATATATGTCAATAGAGGTTGTGCTCCACAGGATTTTGGAAGATGTTGGTGTGGGATTATCTAGATCATGGTGTGTGATTGGATGTGATGGCCTTCCTACCTTGCTTAGCGTGTGATAAAAAATCATTACACATGTTCCATCTGTAATGCCACCGATATTCATGGCGTGCCTGACTTACAGAAGCATCTGGATGATGACCATAACCTACCATGTCACAATCCACAGGAACACCGGACGTTCGGAAATATCTTATTGCTCCCAGGACCCGGACAAATGGAAATCAACATGGCAAAGGCAAGTTTTAAGTTATTGTGGGATGTAATCCTTAAAGATCTTGCCATCATGCTGGGTTTCAGGACAATTCGAGCCCAAGACGCGTGCCGACATGCAACGGACCATCATAAGGCTTGGCAGATGCTGGAATATTTCTGTGGGGGACAGGAGCTGAACTTCTCGTTCCATTCATCAGAGAGTGTAAGGAACATGGCAGGCAGGCAGGCAGGCAAGTGTGGCTCTTTTACTTTCATGGCTATCATGTGCAAAGAACAGGAACTACCTTTTCATGGCCGATGGCACTGTTTCTATTCCGGTGTGGCATGAGAAGAGGAAATGAGAAATTGATTACAGAATTCTATGCACGTTTCTCAGATCTGTTCTATGGCCTACACATGACACAGTACCAAGAACTCACTCTTCGGGAACATCATGTGAGGGATTCTAGTCCACAAGAGATGAAGGACTTCATAGAATCACATATTTCTTTGTCGGTGTCAGGGAAGGATTTCAGAGGTGAAGGGGGAGATTTTGTTTTAGAGGCCCAAAACAGACGCATACAGATGTGGATGCCTCTGGAACTTCCTACAGAACAGCACTGGCAGAGAATATGCGGCAACATAGACACCTTAGACCAGGTATTAACCTTTTTTTAAACACAAAATCGATAATATGCCACTTTTGAAAAACCTATATTCATACTGTCAAAACAGTAAAACGCACAAACCAAGGGAGTGGATAAACCCTAAAAGTTTAACTGAATATGAAATATTTGCCAGCATTAAAATTGACTGTAAAATTAATGAAATGAAACGTTTGTAATGTATCATGCCAAACTACGCACACCTTTCATTTGTGTTCATTTAGTTGGTACACACACTGCAATATGTGTTTTTAAAGTTTGTCTGAATATGTAAATGCTGTCCTGAAAACAGTAGAAATACATTTATACAGCCACAGTAGAAATGTTCATATACTTGCCTCTTTTAAGATACAACGTAAGGGGGAATAACTGGTGTTTAAGGAACAATACTTATACAGCTGCGTGGTGTTGCTGTGGTGAGGTTCACCTTACTGCTGTTTAATTGGCATTGTAACATAAAAGTAGGTATGTTCTCTGATCTGATTGGTTAAAAAGTGTTGTCGAATGAGCATAACATCGCTGAATCTTTTGGGTCTCATCACCGTGTATGTATACATTAATTAATGGAACTATTTTTGAAGTCATCAACATGGAGGAACAGATGGAAATTTACCCTGACTTCCACATCGGAGATTTCGATGAAATATTGAGTGATTGGGACGACGAGACATTTTCTGAGATAATTCCAGAATTTGAAGGTTAATGAAATTTAACTATTTTCATTAATTACCCAATAATAATCATAAATGATGTAATTTTCTTTGGCTTGGCCAAAGGGAAAAGAAAAGAAAATCATTCTTTAACAGAGTAAAAACATTTATTGCAACTCTATAATAGTTATGACTTTCATACACCCACCTAATTTTGTTATTATTATTACTCACAACAACTGTTGAAGCTGAAAACCGTTCTGAGGTGGCCCCTGAACTAGGAAATACAGCCAGCGTTTCCGTAGAGCCAAAAGTTAAAGTGTCTAGTGACCGCTTCGCGTCCCTTGATGCAAATGCAGTACAGGACATCGTGGATGGGAACCTCACCAAATCTACTTGGCGTAATACCTCCGGGGGAGTTAAAATATTTCGACGTAAGCCATTGAAACATAAAAGAATACATAAACACATGCCTAAAATTCCTACGCAGATTCGATCAACATCAGCGAGAGTTACCTCCCTTACACCATTGCCATGATAGCAATGTAAGGCATGACCTATGTGTCATCGCAAAAATTGGCAATAATATAACGAGATTGACCAAAATCTTAATGTAAATTAAATATTTCGTTTTGTGAGATTTGTGATATGTTATGCAAAATGGATATACGGAAATTTCATTTAAACACGACGCCGTAATAGGACTAATAACAAATTACTCCCACTTACTGTCACATTTGTACCCTGAACAAGGCAATCTTTTTCACTTCCAGAATGGCTTGGTTTCCGAGGTTTTGAACCCAAGTTCGAAGAGCTTCCTGCTTCTCAACTGAATGAGAGACTGAGGTTCTTTTATGCCGAAGTCAGAAATGCTGAGGGAGATCTTTACTCAAAATCGAGTTTTGTTGGGTTGCGTGCTGCCATACACAGGCACATCAGGGGACCGCCATTTGAGCGCAGCATAAACATTATCTAAGACCGGGAATTTCACACTGCAAACAATGTTTTTCTGTCCATGATAAAAAAACTCAAGCGCGATGGCCTTGACCAGACAACACATGCTGCTATCCCCGAGAATGATTTAAAAAATTTTTGTGAAAGTTTGGATACGGAAACTCTTTCCGGCTTGCTTCGTAAAGTCTGGTTCGACCTTACACTCGGTTTCGCTACGTGGTAAAGAAAACCAAAGGGAATTAACTGAATCTTCCTTTCGTGTATCCACCGATGAACAGGTGTTTGAGTTCATTGAATTGACACACTCCGAAGTCACCAAAAATCACAGGGGTGATCTCAAAGACTCAAATGGGCCCAACAAACGCATTTATGCAACATCGGACCAATTCTTTCCTGTACTTTCATTAAAAAAATACATGTCTCTCCTCAATCCCAACAATGGTGCTTTTTACCAGGTTCCCAAGAGACGAGTCCACGTCGACGACACCGAATGGTACACCACGAGGCCAGTTGGTGTAAATGTCATTGGCAACATGATGAAAGACATTTCTACCAACGCTGGTCTCAAAGTGTATACAAACCATTTTCTTCGGGCAACTGCTGTTACTTTGCTGTCAAACGCAGGCATTGAAAATCGCGAGATTTGCAAAATTACCGGCCACAAAACCGATGAATCGTTGAAGTCGTATTCCATTGACTCGAGCTCGGCTCAAAAACGACATTATTCGAACATTCTTCAGGGACAGCAGCAGCTCGCTAACGAACGTAATTTGGTACCTGTCCAAGATACAAATATCCTGCCACTGTCCACTGCTCCCGTGAATAACTTCCAGGTTAATTCTTCTGCTAATTCCCATGGTCTCTTTCACATATGTAATTCCACTGTGACAGTAAACAACTTTTTCCATCCCAGCTAAGCTGCATATCTAAAATCTCGCACATGTTTGACCTCTTTTGTCACTACCTCAGCGAGTTGACACTTTCTTGTATAGGGGCCAAACAGTAAGTACGGCTTTTCTAATTTTGATTATTTGTATTTTATAGATACGCATAACTACAAATTACAAGTAAGATGAGGAACTGTGATAAAGAATTGAATTTGTGATATTTCCTGTTGTTTGTTTATTTTCTGAGAAATGGGCTTGAACATGTGGCCACCCCTTTCGTAAAATGAACCATCATTATTGGAGTACCTCGAAACCGTTGATCGGTTTCGCGGCACCCCATATCATGCATCCTTTCGAAGGTGAGCACGAGGAGACGTATTGCTAACGACAGTTTTGTTGTGTCATGCGCTCAGTAAATTAGTTCCTCCTAAATATCGATTTAATTAACGTTCATGTTACAATGTCGATAAATATTTCGTTTTGTAAGATTTGCGTTATGTTATGCTGAATGGATGTACGGAAATTTCATTTGAACACGACGTATTTATCTCCTAATTGAATAATGAACTCCGTATTTCCCGACACTCGGTTTTCAGTTTGTGACCACTTTGAAATGGTTTTCAAGAGTTGTATTCACGTCTGAATAATGGCCCTTCTTGAGTAAAACATACTGCTATGCAAATGTATTACAATAATGTTAACAATAAGAACAGTTTGATAGGAATTTTATTACATTGTTGTATGTCTGTGCTTATCACAGTGGAAAGGTATTTTTCTCTTTATGCTGAGGTGTTTTTTTGAAACTCTGTAAACTTGACAGAGGAAATGCACCCAATAATCACAATTTGGGACATCACGTCCTCCCAATGGTCCCTTTTCTGTGTCGCCATCACCATCTCTTTCAATATGGCAAATGGCACATTTATTAGCACTAGATTGTCGAAACATTGAAACTGTGGTTTGTACATCAACAGTTGTAGTACTTTTCATGTTAGTGGGAGAAGGGAAGGGAAGGGGACGGTAACGACATCATCGCTTGTTGTTTGTGCTGGAATCCCTTGTGTTTCCATGGGTCCATGTTGTTTCATCTGAAAAAAATAATAATATGCATATCAAATGTCATATGTAACAATGACTGTTTATTGACGTAGACGGGAATTTATATATGTTCTGTTTACTGATTGATATGCTTTACTTACAAGCAATTTGTCGTACTTAGATTTAAGTTCATGTGATCCATACGACCAGTTTTGTTTGGATGGCTTGAAAATGTGTAGGTAAGCCTCCGAATGTGTCCGGCTCACTAATTCGTCCACCTGAAACATTTCAATTTGTAGTAATAAATGATTACACTTACTTTCAAACATTAGCATGACATCAATAATTTTTTTACAGATCCGATCACATCTGTCTAAGATGTCTGGAGGTGCCCCAGACGACAGCGATGATGTCTATCATCCGAATCTGGACAACGAGATCCGTCACTGGCGACTTTGTGTGCGACAGTCTGGCTATCTGGCCAAGCCTTCAAGTGCAGTTCCACACACGTCCCTCTCAGGACAGCCCCTGGACTCGGAACTATGTATGTTCGCAGGAATGTGTATTTACAATAAATCTTTGTATGTTGATGCCATTTTGTCAGGCCAGAAACTGGGATGCGTGGTGAAGCTACCACGGGTGTTCATTTTGGCAGGGGACCGTGAGAAGTCTCAAGATGTCACCAAGAGGACAAATGCCGAACTGGTTGACATGGTCACAGCTGAAATTATTCAGACTGAAGACCTCGGATCGAAGGATGTGACAGCATCTCTGCGTCAGGACTTTCACCGCAATGGCAGGACTGGCACTAAGTCTGTGCTGCTCACATTCCTACGTAATGGCAGCGACATTCTGGCAGGCCTTCTGGAGGTGATGGATGGAGACTTCAGGTAATGTATGCTTTTGCAAGGCCATTAATATTGATTTGCTTCCCTTTACATATGTAATGTTGTACATTATGTCATCATACCTTCTTCATCAGTGTTCGCTTTCTGGAGCAGAGGGTGTTGGATTTCTTTCTTGCGTCAGTCACAAATGTTGTGGGCATTGGTCCCTTGTGATGATTTTTCACCAATGTAGGTTTTTTGGCCTGTGTTTGTCGACGTTTTGTATATCTGTAGGTTTCCGGCATCTGTTAAAATGTATTTTCTATATTTACAGGTTCCTCAACTGCTTGACCTGCACGCCACTCACATGAAGTACCTTCATGATTCATTCGTCATCTGTGATATTTATTCCTCAGTGTATATGGAGTGACCGTGACACTAGCATACCCTGAGTCATCTGTGATATATTTTCGTGGCAATCTACTGTGACATAGTTCATTGTGTCGTGTGATGTGCAATAACGACCTATGGTTTTAACTTTAAACCCGCCTTTGCCGGCCCAAGCCCGGATGTGAAAGGGTTAGGGTTGGACAATACTTCCTACGTCTTGTTCATAAAAGAGTATTTATGCTTCCATTATCAGGTGCTGTTTCATACATTATTTCTTTGCAGTTCACTGTCTCATCTCACCTCTATGGTATCTTTGTCTTGTCCACCAGCCTCCTCCTGATGTTCCATGATTTCCTCTCCAGTTAGTTGAAGTCAGACACACTTACTATCATGAAATGGCTTATATACACCTTTACGAACGAGTATTAACCACTCAGATTGCTCGTTCTATTTATGTACCAATGGTAGACAACATGTGTTATTCATTTACACTGTTGCCACGACAATTTTCCGGTTTTACGGTTTGATTTTGCATTTCATTTTGTAATTCGGATTTCTTCAATTATGACCAGCCACTGGGCCTCCATAGAAATTGTTTCTTTGGACTGGTGCATTCTTTTCCCAGTCAACATCTCGTTTTATCGTTTAGTACTGCTTCCGGTGCAGAGCAACATGGCGTTGCAGATGTACAACTGAGCGGTGTATGTGCATTAAACTGAGCAAACAGAGGTATAACATTGTCGTTGAGCCTGATATGTGTGCAAGTGAGTTGACGGGGTTGTATTTGTGAGCCATGTGTAGTCAAATTCTAGTTTTATTGAGTAAATTGACATTTCTATCGCAAGCGGGAATTTGGTCACTTTCAATTATCGCTCTAGCGCACAGTCGGAAATAAGTTATTGCATGGCCTGCGGTGTAAATTTCTCACATACCTCGATCGACGTATAATACGTCGATTGGCTTATTATACGCCGATTGGCTTATTATACGCCGATTGGTGGTTATCCCCGACCTGCACAGTGCACACCTCGATTTTGCAAGTATGTTCATATTTCTACACTTAGCAGCAAGCCTCACCCAGCTATGGTTTGCCAGTCACAATTGTCACAGCAAGCAAAAAGACAAATCCCCAAACTGATTGAACTAGTAACTATCCAAGATAAAGGGACTTCTCCAATAAATTTTCAAGTGTTAAAGTCCGATTGATCAGAATATCCTAGGTATGAGGAGGCAACCTACCTGTGGCAAGGTTTTAATGCTGGATTCAGCTTAGGCTATACTGGAGTTTACACACCTTGTCCTGCGAAAAACCTAAAATCTGCTTACTAATATCCACAACTTGTTCAAAGGAAAGGGGACAAAGAGATAGGGTCCTACCATCCTGCCTAAACTTTTCTTAAAGCCCCATTGCAAGAATTGAGAATATCTCCCATAGGACTGGTTCCCCAAAAAATCCCTGGCGAGTTCAGACTTATTTATACCTACTTGCTGTTTGTGTAACTCGATATGGAGTTTTTGAAATTGTGGTAACACCTCGTAGGAGGGCTTACAATCATTGTAAACCCTCGATAGAACAAAAATTACGAACAGCCTACGAGACGCACGTGCAGATTTCGTGCCATTGCGAGACGCACATGCAGATTTCGCACCGTTGCAAAACCCACGTGCTGAGGTCACCGGTTGATTGAACCGAGTTCACGACTGCAGGCGATTTTTCATCTCCGATACAGGTTATACATTTGAGAGTTTTTATTACAGTTATTTAATTAAAAACGTTGTCTATGCGATGAGTCGTTTTATAAGTTGAACAAACCATTTCTCCTCGGGATAACCAGCGATTGTATGTCACCTCACGTCAGGGTTTACAATCGCTGGTAATCCCTCGTAGAAATGGTTTCTCCTATACTTCACCACTTATCATATCCAGAAGGTTCATCAATAAATGACAATATTGATGACAATGTTGCCTCTGTCACATACACCCGCTTTGATGATGCGATCCCCTTGGTACAGGGTTTAGGCAACAAAGCACTTTTGGCCAAGGCAGATATAAAAGTGCATTTAGGCTTTGCCCAATAAGGAAAGAAGATTTTAATTTGTTTGGTTTTCAATTTCAAGGTAGTGATTACTTTGATATGTGCCTTCCAATGGGCTGTAAAATCAGTTGTTCAGTGTTTGAAAAGTTTGCAATTGCAATGTTTGCAATGGGCCACACAACGCACACACCCAAAAGCAGAGGTTTTGCATTACCTAGATGATTTTCTTTTGCGGGGATAAGCCAATACAATACAGTGTCAACAATGTTTGGATATATTTCTCGATATTTGCCTTAGTCTTGGAGTACCAATAGCAGTGGAAAAGACCGTACTACCACACACTTGCCTTACATTTCTGGGCATAGAAATAGACACAGAGGCAATGGAAGCAAGAATCCCTGCTGACAAAATCATACAATGTCAGCAAGCAATATCAGAATTACTTAAGTAAAACAAAGTCCTACTGAAACAATTACAATCACAACTGGGTTTACCCAATTTTATTTGCAGGGCCATACCAATAGGCCGTCCTTTCTCTCGCAGGCCTAGGCTAATTGATGCGACATTAAAAAAAAAACAATCATCATATTCGCTTGACGCAAGGAGTCAAGGATTGACAAGTGTGGCAGGAATTCCTGCATCAGCACAATGGAGTCTCATTGTTTCAGGATATGGAATGGCAATCAAATACAGAGCATTACCTTTACACAGATAGCGCTGGAGGTGAGGGGAGAGGTTTCGGCCTATATTTTGGGTATCAGTGGTCCTATGGTGCTTGGCCATCTGAGTGAAGAAAAGCTGGTATTACAGAGGACATAACCTTTTTAGAGTTCTTTCCAATTCTGGTAGAAGTACAGCTGTGGGCAGATCAGCTTGTAAACAAGAAAATTATGTTTCATTCAGACAACAAATCAGTTGTGATGATTCTAAACAAATTGACATCTCAGTCCGCACGTGCCATGGTTCTAGTTAGGCCTTTTGTGCTTCACTGTTTACAGCGCAACATCTTAGTAAGGGGACTGGAAACTGAAGCTATCAGGCTACTAGAGCTTTCACAATCTGACAACAGTAAGAATGCCTATACAATTGCTTTGCATTCCTTTGCCAGGTTTAGATCAACTTAGCACATACTAGAACTATGGCCAGCCCCTATAGAACACTTACTACAATATATCTCATATTTATCTCTACACAACAGAGCTCATTCAACTGCATTACTACATATGGCAGCAATATGCTGGTATCACAAAGTAATTTGTTTTCATGTTTGATGTTTTTATTGTTTGGTTTTCATGAATGGATGTGACAATAGTTCTTGTGATAGTGCATATTGCTGAAATGGGTTTATTGAAATCACATGGAGTAACATATGGCTTCATATTAACAGTGTGGTTATGGAAAAGCATCTATAAAATGATTACCCATCCTAGAAATCACTTTTCAGTTCTCTTTATAATCATACTCAAACAAATGTAATATGAACTTCAATAATCCACCACTGCCTGATATCAGCATAGTTTTGTTAGCTTTTGCGAGCGCATCAACAATCCTGAAAATATACATTCAGCATGTTAAAAAAATAGCTACAGTTTATAGTGTCACGTTTGCCCGTTCATGAGAAACGAGATACATGTACAAACGATTTTTCCTTTGAGTACATTTGATACATACTCCTACGTTTGGTACATGTTATTATATTTTCATTTGTTTTGTCATTGCGTGAAGATGTGTCACTATACATACATGACTTCCACTCCACTGATAGCTTGGAGCTGTAAGCTCTTCGGTGTAACGTCTCCCAGGTGTGAAACATGTCGTGCAGGTTATAAGCCTCCTGCGGTCAACACAAACGGAACATGAATCTGGTCACACGGTGAGCTCACCTGGACAGCTTAGGCATGCAGCGGCTGGATATTTTCTTTGAAACCTCATCCCAAAAATCGTTCATGATTGTCACAGCTGCCATGAGGGAAGAACATGTTTATGGCATCTCAAAGTGGCATTTGAGAAGATGCAGTATCAAGCACTGTCTTCTTTACTGCCATCTTTACTGAAACGTCGCAGTGCAAGAATAAAGAAGCTTAAAGAACGTTTAAGGTGCCTCATTTACGGGCGTGTTAGTCACACTTTCTCCACCACACTTCTGTCAACATAGTAGTCTTTAAATCACGCCAAATAAGGTCCTAACAGTAACACTCTTGTCTTAAGCTTAATTTTCTTTTTATAGTGAACATTATCAAAATAACAAACAATGAATAGTAAACATCTCACGTTCAAAAGCAGCATGACAGATGATCTTGGACAGCTTCTAAATCTCTTAATCTTCACATCAGTGCTACTGAAACCATTAATGGGGATACATGAACCTAGGGAAGACTTGTTTATAGATATGTTTAATATTCACAAAGCCGAGAGGTTAAAACATTTCAACTAAATATAACCGTTGTATTAGGCTATTTCATTGCATTTCACTTTGTTGTAAAGTTCACTGTTTCGATTGATATCCTCCATTTGTGACAATGGCAGAAGGATATAAAGGTCAATATTGAATCAGTGAAATAGTATTGTCGATGTTTCAGTTCCTCATCTTCAACTTTAGGGCCTGCCGTGGTGGAGAATAAAGTTTTTTAAAGATATCTGTACCAATTGTTCAGAACTTAATTGTCTGTTGTGCTACATTCCCCAACTTAACGGGATGGGTGTTAAATGTTTTACGATGGCTGGACAAAAAGTTAGGGTTAGGATAGGGTTCACACAGAAATGGCAGAGGGCTTAGTAGTCGGGGGGGGGGGGGGGGTCCTAATTTTCAAATATCCGTAAGATACTATACAGCGTGTTGTTGTTTCCATATGGCCAATTAAATTGAAATTTTATAGTCCTGTGACTGGATTTAACCGTTTTTGTTATGCCTCAGCCTAAAAGCTAAGGCTATAGACAATACAGATTGAGTATAACCTTGTCTCTTGCACAGATCCGTGGCACAATGTCGTCGTCTTCTTCGACCAGGATTATACGCGCCAGCGTCATCTACTTGTGGTCGAAGTTGTTTTTAATCCCCTGCATGTGACAGTCGCGAGCAAAATAGTCCCACTCGTCTACGTCAATTCCTGTGTTGGCGTTTGCAACAATCTGGTGATAAAATGTTTGTTATACACTACTATTACATTACCTAGATTTCCAACATTGTGTCTTGTCACTATGGTAGCAGTGTCGGAAAATCTTCTTGTATCCTGGTAACTTAATATTTTAGTGTTTCTTCAATTGTCAACAAACCTGTTCAGCAAATGTAACCGTACACATTGATTGTGGTATTAAGTACTTTCTCTTTTGGTGAACACAATTATCTATCACATGCTTCTGTAACATAGCATTGTAACTCATGATCACAGGGATAAACACATGGTCATCATTTTACGCATTCATTTTATTTAACATGAGGTGAGGTGGGATTTTACGTCGGGTTCAAGAATATTGCACTGACACAGCAACAGACTGTGTGTTTGTGTGGGATGCTTGTTTTGTTCCAGAATATCTCACTAAGACACAGTATACTGACTGAGCCGACCAGTCTTTCATTTGTCCTCTTAATGACAAAACGTCCAATCTATTCAAAGTCTGTTGATATTGCGCGTTCGGGGATCGCTCTTTCCAACAGGGGGGCACGGGTGGCCCAATCGTCTAAGGTGCCGCGATTCGCTGTGCAGAGTTGCGTCCCTTGGACACGCCAGAAACCTATGATTGTGGGTTCGAATCCCGGTTCGCCCCGATTATGTTTCTAGGTTTGTCAGCACCATACCCGTGCTCGTGGGTTTCACCGAAGTGGTAAACGTCAGAGACCTGCATCACTTCGGGCTTTCCTCCCACATTAAGCTGACACGCCGCGATATAACTGGAATATTGTTAAAAGCGGCGTAAAACCCAACTCACTCACTTACTCTTTCCAACAGACCAAGGGGGAGATTATTCTATTTCACAATTTAAGAATTTTGAGGCTCGTCACACAATGGACAACTGTAGGCGACCGACCTTTGAGTCTATCTCAAGACCGCAAAGCCCGTACTACTCGCTTAACTATTAGGAGGTATTTAAAGGCATGGCTTTTCTATAATGTGCTCAAAGGTACCAGTTTGATAATTTATAAGCATATCAGACTGTGGTCATGATCGGATCATCTGGACCAGACAATCCAGTGATTGATATCATGAGCATCGACCCACGTAATTGGTTTGGATCGATGACATGCATCAACCAAGTCAGCGAGCCTGACCACAATCCTTGAAGAAAAGCATAGTTTTTTCGAGAATAACAGTGTACCTGTTAATATGCAATGCTCAAAACGAGCGGAGGTTTAGCTTTCACGTAATCAATTAACACAACTAAACTAGATCCCTGTAAGAATCCGGAGACGAGGATCAGGTGATCGGAATTACTTTTAATCTGATGTCATCTGTGATTTTCAGTGACACCATGCTGATGGCGTGGCTCAATGGTATCCACTTATCCAGATTGATCTTGGTTTAAGTCACTTATTTTCTCTTTCGCATTCAATTATGAAAGGGTCACTGTGATGAAGTTGGTATATAGCGGGCTGTAGCATCAAAGCATTCACTCACACACCTACACACTAGACAAGAACAATTTAATAATTAAATTACACACTGAGAAGGAAGACACTCGATCTGAAATACGAGCTTGGACATGCCATGCCAACCAACGGAAACCCTCGCATAAGAGGGTCATATCCTGACGCCATGTGCTGATGGATTTGGCAGCTGCCAGTCATACCGCAATATGTCAGAGTAACATACCAACAATAGGCTTCCCACACTGTACCTGTGTTGGAAATAGAACCACCTGTAGATAGGGTCTTAGGACTGTAACTGAATGAAATGGTTTTATAATAGTGTAAATATGCTCAATTTGCGATTTAATTGGTTTTAACGCTGCAGTATTGTAGAAAATAGTAACTAATTTATCATGTTTACAATATCAAGCCAATGGAACATCAATATTGAGCTGTCATATATGTAAGCGTTCATGTAACAATTGTTGTCACACAATACATTGTGAATGATTCATGAGGTAGCATATTGAACAAAATTAATCTCTCCCTTATAAAATCTATAATATAATGTGTTTGTTGCCCGTTCTTTTGTAATACAGTTTGATAAAAAACATAAGCTGTCATGACCGAGGGCAATTTAGGAAGCTCTGTAAATCATTTAATATATATTGTATACAATCTAAACGTGCAGTGTACCATCACATACACTCAACATGCTCAAGTAAACGACCTCTACAAATACCAACATTATAAGACCACGTGATGTTACGTGACTTCAGCAATCGACAATTCAAAATTGTATCAACTAACTGAAGAACTGTGAAACTTCTATTATTTGAAGCATTCAGCAGATTTTTATTATGATTATTGAAAGGGTTTGGTCAGTTTTATTTTTTCGCATTTATACCAATTTCAGAACTAGACTAACCAGTGGTTTATGCTCATGTTATGGTCGGAGTCGTACGATGGACTGACATTTTTGGAAATGGGACATTTGGGCGGGAGGTGGGCATCACCCTGGCCACCAATTGTACTCATCTCTTTGCGCATGCTGTCCTATCATTCGTGACTAACTCGTGTTATTCCGGGACAAGCCGAATAGCGACTCGTGCCCCTATCGTGGCCATTTTTGCGACCGGGTTCCGTCTTTGCGCAAACGGGCATACCTAAAACAATTGTCAACTCGTTGCGTAATGGTTCACATTTATTTCCCCATATATTATATATATTTCAGATGCAATTTAAAGCACATCGGGACATTCGGAATTATACAGTATGATTGAACACATTTAACTGTGTCTTGGGTATATTTTTAGATGCAAGACATATGTAAAATCAAAAATTATTTCTGAGGAATTCTTTGACGAAGAACTTGAAATCATACGCGCATTCTGATTGGTTTGTCGTATTTTCGCACATAACATTCATCGATAGGGGGGACGAGTCTTCTTGCAGGTTACGGAAAGGGGCGAATGGTGACGAATGGCTGTCCTATCTCTTTGTGCACACGAGTCAGAATATGTTCTCGGTTTGTCAAAACAAAATTACGCGAATTTAGATATGAAGTCTAAACTAAGCTTAAGGTTTCACTTATTTACCCACGAGGGCAAGAAATATAAACGACCACGTGTTTCATGTTTAGATGTGGAGGATAAAACACGACTCCAGTTTTTGTTGAAAATGTAAAGCCACGAGAAAGGAAAAAAACAGGAGACCGAAGACCCGAGGGCTTATTCTCAAGCTCGAGATTTTTCATTTTCAACCAAACCACGGAGTCGTGTTTTAACTGTCATATAAGCTGAGGGAAAAGGTTAGCCTAGGGGTTAAAGCGTATGCTCGTTCTGCCGAAGACCCGGGTTCGATTCCCGACATGGGTACAATGTGTGAAGCCCATTTCTGGTGGCCCCCGCCGTGATATTGCTGGAATATTGCTAAAAGCGGCGTAAAACCAAACTCACTCACTCACTCACTCACTATATTAAGAAGAGGACCGTTGACGTTGCGCCAGAATCCATATCGACACTGATCTATCGGCACTACTTGGGACATCGAAAAACTTTTGGGCGAACATTAGCTCACTAGAACAGGTCAGCTTCTCATTTTACCACACAGTAATCGCATACGATTTGTCAGTGAGCGTAATAGTCATTAATAATAAGTCTATTTGTGCCGCACACGTTCTTACATGCATAGTGTAACCAAACTATGGAGCCACGTGGAAGGTTCCTCGATGTGTGATTCTCAGTGGCCATAACAGTGTATAGCGTCCTTTTTGAAAATTGCAACATGTTTTTGGATAAACACATTTATCATGTAATGGCTAGATTGCTAGACGGGATAAAGCCAACGGGAAAATATGCAAATAAACGGCAAGGGAATAGTTTCAATGATTACAATTACAATTATGTCGTTGTCCTTGTCTATTATTATCATTAGTACCACAATAATAGGTACGGAAAGTCAGTGTCTAACTCAGACACTATATAAGTGTATGCAACATGCCTGTGCCTTGGTCTTTTTCCGAATTTGAGATGGATTAGGCAAGAATAAGTCGCTGTGCTGTTGCTGTGTGGGACATGTCATTGCATTTCGCATCATTATGACAATGTAAAAGTATGATACTAAACAAACGAAACGTCTCAAAGACTAGAGTAGCTTCCCTTTCTGAAATGACTATTACTTCTGTGGATTGTCGCGAAAGGTGATCAATCAGAAAATTATTTCGTGCTTTAAAACATTAGCTTTACAAATGATAAAATGTGTTTTCATGGTAGTTTAGCCACTTTGTAAAAGTTGGAACTATATTACCAGTTGTCAATGTCCGCCTGGCCAATCACAGAACTAGTAGGGAAATATATTAATGCGCACATTCCGGGAAAATTTGCAATGTTTAAGCACCGTTGGTGAGAGACTTTAATTTCGAAAATAGATTAATTTTTAAAAATGATATGATATCAAGAAGTAGTTATCACGCTTGTGTGCTTTGGGTGGTATATATCGCCAAGGCTCGCTAAATACAATGTTTATTCCACATACAGGATATTTGCCACCCCATAACACACTCGCGTGAACCTCTCCGCGAACCAATCAGAGTGGTGGATGTACATGTGACTGACGACGTCACTGTTTCAATTCCTTATATGGCAGGCGCTGCAGGATATAAACTGGTGCGCGTTGTCGAGGTGATGAAATCAGATACTGTTCCTGGTATGGACATAGTTCGCTGTTCGGGCATGCTGCCTATTGTCTGGTATGGAATTGGTTTGTGTTTGCTGATTTATCTGTGAGTATATTCGTGTTTTAACTACAGCAACGGACATACTTATGGAATAACCCACGAGGTACGAGTGATAACGGAAAATATGTCACGAGTGAAATTAATGTTTTTAGTTCCGAGCTTTCACGAGTGACATATTTTACGTAATCACTCGTACCAAGTGGGTTATTCTATTTATTACCCATAATCATATTAAAGACGTTTCAAGGGGGGAAATCGCCGATCAAGAATCAGCTGTTTTGCATCAAAAAACAATCGCGTTACTCACTTAACGTGTTGTTACGCGTAAAAAATACAGTTCTGTTAAAAAACTATACAGATCGCACTATAGCAGTTATATTTCTGTCTGATATACACGGCGTACACTTTCTAGCATTGATAAAGAAGACAAGTTTCCAAAAAGGTTCATCAGGTTTTTTAATCAAGGCTTCTTTTGACAAGATCTCACTATCACAGACAGCCACCGTCGTGCATAGGCAGAGACATGCATTCACATTGAGAAGAGGAAACACGGCAAACGTGTCAATTTTTTAATGTGTCATGAGAAACAAATGCCAAAACCTATAACAACATAGACGGATTGTACAGAAGTCCTGTTTGTTGGAGAAAAGTTACGAAAAGTAGGTAAACTTTGAAAAGTACGTCACAGTGTCGGAATGAATGACCCGACTTGATCCAGATATGAGACAGCCGAAACCAGGAGAGACAAGAGAACCGGCGTTACAGTTTAATCCGGACTTCAGGTTTAATGAACATCGTGTGTGATTTGAGACAAGTGTGAGTGGTGGGAAACATGTGCATGTGGGATTTTAGGAGGACTTGTCAAACACAACCTAGTAGATGACGGGAGTTTGTTGTTATTTTGATGTGATTCATAGGCTAATCAGTAGAGGACGTAACGTGTAGAGGGTTATAGAGGGTCACTCGTATGCGTGACGGTCTGTCAGTGGACCATGGATTTCTGCATGTTGCACAAAAATGTCTCTACAAGCGTTATTTGTGAAAATAATAAAACAAAATTAAGTACAGTTATTGATTATCCTACTAGTTATCGAATGACATGAAAAAAATGTCATAAGAAAAATAATAAATGCTAATGGTCGAATACCTGTTGATAGACTAACACGGTATCTGAAGACGTGGTGCCAAGCCGTCCGTATTCACGGACTTCATTTCGTTTATAGCTTAATATCGGACACAGGATCAGCTCGCTGTGGTAAGTTTTCTTCTCCTTGTATTTTTTAATTATTTTTGTTTTGATTTCAAAACCTCTCCGAGTTCAGCAAAGTGCATCGATTCGCGAGCAGATGTTGGTGATCATGTCGCTACATATCATGTGACACTCTATGCTACCCTTGATCTTCTTCAAAGTAGACATTTCGAATTCTAAACCGTCTGATTTGCATGCCGAAATGATAACGTTACAAAGAATAATGTTTAGTTCCATCTTCCCTGTGTCATTAAACCCTCGTGGTGCCTGGACGTTAGTCAGCCTGCCTACCGCTCATTGCCGTTCTGTGCTGACGTCGCCGATACAAAAACGTATACATTGTATAAAAATTGTCACAACGTTCTTATTTCTTCACAAAACGTTACAAAATTCTACAAAATGATGGATCATCCTATTGTCTTTCGGAAAGTCTAAAAGTTGTTGCAAAATGAGTTTGTTTTTATTCTGATGCCATCGTTCAAAGTGTGAGTATTCTTATTTTTCGTGTTTTTCTTACCTGTATACATTTGTGAACTAAGTTCATGTCAACTTGTCAAGTTTAGTCTTTTTCATTGTGTTTTCATTTTCATTGGCAGTTATCGATGTACATTGTATGTCATCATCGTTCACAAAGGCAAACCTGTCTGTACTAAGTCCGGTTTTTGGATTCGGGTGGTCGAAAGATTCATCAAACAGCAAGTCCACTAACACAGACGCAGACCTGGACTTAGTGGTGTTGATCTTGGCGCACTAGAAACAGTTTCTGGCAACATCGCAATCTGAATTTTGGAACTTCAATCTGGCCATATGCAGTTTTGACAACAAAGATATTAAATGTGTTCAGAGGTTGAATAATACGAATAACTCTTCATGTCAGTCAGATCTCCGTCCGCTTTAAGGAGGTCATTTTCCTTGACAGGTGTCAAATTGTCAGCCATGTTTGTTTACAAACAACGCAGACGTTTTGGTTTTTACTGTAAAATGAAAATCATCTCAAATAAATGAAAAAAAAAATGGGAAATCATGTTATTGATATGAAACTTGGTTTCTTGTCTTATAAATCTCGAATCAGTGATTGTAGCACGTAAAACATCTGAATGAAAGGCGTCGATTTGTGAATGAATGGGGTGAGAGAAAAATAGTCCCGTTGTCCAATGAAAATTTATCTTTGATCAACTGACCAATAAAAATATAAGCTTCGATAATCACTAATTGCACACTGTGCAAATGTCAAAAAGATATTACACTGCATATTTGAGCCCATATGGGTAATACATTTGGTTACCTTTCTTGACCTTTTTCATTAAAAATCTGACCCGTGAAGATTCCGGGTTAGAATTGATCTTCAGCAACCCATGCTTGCCGTAAAAGGTGACTATGCTTGTCGTAAGAGGCGACTAACGGGATCGGGTGATCAGGCTCCCTGACTTGGTTGATGTATGCCATCGTATCCCAATTGCGTGGATCGATGCTCATGATGTCAATCACTGGATTGTCTGGTCCAGACGCGATTATTTACAGACCGCCGTCATATAGCTGGAATATTGCTGAGTGCGGCGTAAAACAACAAACAAACAAACCAACATTAAAAATCTAATTAGTGCTTACAATAAACAGTTTGTCTCTGTGTTTTACACCATGACTGGAAAGTGTCATTTGCCGTGTAAGCTTTGAATAACATGACCGTGATAACGTGATCAGGAAACCCTGTTACTGAGTGTCTTGTCAATTTGATCCCTTCGTATTACTGTTCAACGTATATTGTTTTTATAACTATGAATAATAGCTAAACCTGATGCCATGCAACAGGTAATATCTGTTTTCTGTATACCAATATATGTCAACACATCATCCTTGTCTACAGATACGGCAGATGGCGACTTCGAATGCTTCCCAACGCTGGAATCCCGGGACCCTCTCCAACTGTATTTCTTGGAAACTTGAAACAAATGGCAACAAATGTAAACAATTTTCTATACAACTTCAAATGTGTTGCAAATGTAAGGTTACACATAATCGACGGTTAGATCAGCAGCAGGATGTGTATTGACTAAATATTACATTTACTTGTCTGGTGATTAGAACAGTTGAAGTGTTAACGCCACTGTCAGTAATAATCCATTTAGAGGTCTACGTCAACGTATTAATACGTGTAAGTATCTGGTTTCACCTGTAATAGTCAAAGAGCGGGTGAGATTACACCTGGTAAAATAGTTAAAGAGCGAGTGAGATTACACCTGGTAAAATAGTTAAAGAGCGAGTGAGATTACACCTGGTAAAAAAGTGAAAGAGCGAGTGAGATCACACCTGGTAAAAAAGTTAAAGAGCGGGTGAGATTACACCTGGTAAAATAGTTAAAGAGCGGGTGCGATTACACCTGGTAAAAATAGTTAAAGAGCGAGTGAGATTACACCTGGTAAAATAGTTAAAGAGCTCGTGAGATTACACCTGGTGAAATAGTTAAAGAGCGGGTGAGATTACACCTGGTAAGATAGTTAAAGAGCTCGTGAGATTACACCTGGTGAAATAGTTAAAGAGCGGGTGGGATTACACCTGGTAAAATAGTTAAAGAGCGGGTGAGATTACACCTGGTAAAATAGTTAAAGAGCGGGTGAGATTACACCTGGTAAAATAGTTAAAGAGCGAGTGAGATTACACCCGGTGAAATAGTTCAAGAGCGGGTGGGATTACACCTGGTAAAATAGTTAAAGAGCGGGTGAGATAAGACCTGGTAAAATAGTTAAAGAGCGGGTGAGATTACACCTGGTAAAATAGTTAAAGAGCGGGTGAGATTACACCTGGTAAAATAGTTAAAGAGCGGGTGAGATTACACCTGGTAAAATAGTTAAAGAGCGAGTGAGATTACACCCGGTGAAATAGTTCAAGAGCGGGTGGGATTACACCTGGTAAAATAGTTAAAGAGCGGGTGAGATAAGACCTGGTAAAATAGTTAAAGAGCGGGTGAGATTACACCTGGTAAAATAGTTAAAGAGCGGGTGAGATTACACCTGGTAAAATAGTAAAAGAGCGGGTGAGATTGCATATGGCTTTGAAATAGTCGGACTCCTTCAATAAATTCTATTTTTAGACCAGTTTCTTATGATTATTCAAAGAGATTTGTGGATGTTATTTAATAATACCATGGTGTATCAGCTATGAGATAGTTAACAACGTGCAAGATTTAGATATTTACCATTAGCTATCCTTACGGGCAAGGAGATGACTAACTAGTAATTATTGTACCAATTATGTATTCCAATCCAAGATTATAGAATTTTGGCAGGCATGGTCTTAAAGTTGCCGATGACAGTGCAAGACTCCATCTCTCCGAAGTCCCTGGTTCGATTCCCCGAAATGGTACAATGTATGAACTCCTTTCCCTGCGCCTCCCGACCTGATATTGTTTGACTATTGATACAATCAGCATAGACTCCAACCGACACACTTACTTACTCATTGATGCTTGTCATAAGAAGCGACTAACGGGATCGAGTGGTCAGGCTCGCTGACTTGGTTGATGCATGCATGGATTGTCTGGTCCAGACTTGATTATTTACAGACCGCCGTCATATAGATGAAATATTGCTGAGTGCGGCGTTAAACAACAAACAAACAAAACTCACTCATTAAATATAGTAAGCTCAATGTCAAGGATTAGAATGACAAGATCCAATCTTCTTTGGCAGGGCCTTGTCGACCGCCATCGCCGACACAGGAAAACGTACGGGAAGGTGTACGGGTGAGTCATAGCTCTCAGTGGACATTGCACTGCCTTGTAGGTGACAAATATACCTTGCTACATCTACGACCTCAGCGAAGCGCAACTGTTAGTCTTCACTTATTATGTAGATGAGTGGACACTGTCACCTTTGTGTTTGGGAGCACGGGTGGCCCAGTCGTCTAAGGCGCCGCGATTCGCTGTGCAGAGTTGCGTCCCTTGGGAACGCCAGAAACCTATGATTGAGGGTTCGAATCCCGTTTCGCCCCGATTATGTTTCTAGGTTTGTCAGCAGCATACCCGTGCTCTTGGGTTTCACCGAAGTGGTAAACGTCTTAGACCTGCATCACTTCGGGCTTTCCTACCACATTAAGCTGACACACCGTGATATAACTGGAATACTGTTAAAAGCGGCGTTAAACCCAACTCGAACACACACACAGGTACACACATTTGTGTTTGCAGCGAATGTATACTCGTGAATGTTCTGAAAATTGCCTCCATGTTATATTTCAGATGCCTAATTGGTTTCCTTTTGCTTTGTAGTCAGTACCTGGGCGCGCTACCATACATTTTCGTTCATGATTTGGATATTTTGAAGGAAGTTTTTGTGAAGAACTTTGATAATTTCATGAATAGAATGGTAAGCATCTACGATAAAGAATTAACGTTTAAAGAGTGTCCCCAGTAATTATAACAAGATCTGCCTGCAGGCGTGTCTATTTGAGTATACGCTAATAAAACATTACACTCCTACATCGAGCCACATACATCCACACTGGCAGATATACATACAGCTATACTGACAGACAGACATGTACATTGAGTGACATACAGCTAAACCGACAGACACACAGCTACACTGGCAAACAAACATAGTTACAGCTACACTGACAGACACACACACACACATTTATACTAACATACACACAGCTACACTGACATACAGCTACACTTGCAGACAGACTACATTGAGAGACACACAGCAACACTGGCAAACAGACACTCAGCTACATTGAGACATATAGCTACACTCACATATACAGCTACACAACTACACTGACATACAGCTGCACTTGCAGACAGACACTCAGCTACATTGAGACATACAGCTACACTGACATACAGCTACACTGACATATACAGCTACAATGACATACAGCTACACTTGCAGACATACACTCAGCTACATTGAGACATACAGCTACACTGACATACAGCTACACTGACATATACAGCTACAATGACATACAGCTACACTGACATATACAGCTACAATGACATACAGCTACACTTGCAGACATACACTCAGCTACATTGAGACATATAGCTACACTCACATATACAGCTACACAACTACACTGACATACAGCTGCACTTGCAGACAGACACTCAGCTACATTGAAACATACAGCTACACTGACATACAGCTACACTGACATATACAGCTACAATGACATACAGCTACACTTGCAGACATACACTCAGCTACATTGAGACATACAGCTACACTGACATACAGCTACACTGACATATACAGCTACAATGACATACAGCTACACTGACATACAGCTACACTTGCAGACAGACACTCAGCTACATTGAGACATACAGCTACACTGACATATACAGCTACACTGACATATACAGCTACACTGACATATACAGCTACACTGACATATACAGCTACACAGCTACACTGACATACAGCTACACAGCTACACTGACATACAGCTACACTTGCAGACAGACGCTCAGCTACATTGAGACATACAGCTACACTGACATATACAGCTACACTGACATACAGCTACACTTGCAGACAGACACTCAGCTACATTGAGACATACAGCTACACTGACATACAGCTACACTATAATACACCTACACTTGCAGACAGACAATCAGCTACATTGAGAGACACACAGCTACACTGACATATACAGCTACACTTGCAGACATACACTCAGCTACATTGAGAGACATACAGCTACACTGACATATACAGCTACACTTGCAGACATACATTCAGCTACATTGAGAGACATGCAGCTACATTGACAGACACACACACAGCTATACTAACAGACGGACACACAGCTACACTTGCAGACAGACGCTCAGCAACATTGAGAGACCTACAGCTACACTGACAGACAGACACACAGCTACACTGACATACAGCTACACTGACAGACACAAAGCTACACTGAAATACAGCTGCACAGTTGCAGACACTGACAGGTTGACCCAACTGACTTATTAGTGCAATATTTTATTATTTCAGTCCATATTCCAGTCGCTCAACATGAATCCACACCCTATAGACATCGCACTCACCTTTGCCAGGGGGGATTCATGGTATCGACTTCGCCATATCATGACTCCTGCCTTCACTGGGTCAAAACTGAAGAACGTAAGTGGATCACTGAATACCCACATAGTAAGTGAGTGAATTGGGTTTAACACCGATTTTAACAGTATTCCAGTTATATCACGGCGTGAATACCCACATAGACACAACTTGTGTCCAGATACTTGTTTAGGTTCAGTCTTCTGCTTTTATCCACGAGGTTCTAGGTTCGGATTTCGGATCACGATTTGGGTCATAAGAATTGGGTAATTGCGGGTACTCAAGCGGAACATTTTTCCAAAGTCTTAAGAAATTTCCGCTAAAAGCAAAGTTAATTATAAAATTCTGATTTTCAAACTGCCTCCACTGTGTTGCATAACGAACATATTTCCATAATATCATGTTCCATCGTCAGTTATTCAAATATGGACCCAAATACTGTGAGCAATTGGAAGCACCACTTTAAAATCATTACGGATGCTGTCGAAATATGTGCCCCCAAAAATCATTCATCACCACTCGCCCCTTTCCGTAACCTGCAAGAAGACTCGTCCCCCTATCGATGAATGTTATGTGCGAAAATACGACAAACCAATCAGAATGCGCGTATGATTTCAAGTTCTTCGTCAAAGAATCCCTCAGAAATATTTTTTTGATTTTATATATGTCTTGCGTCTAAAAATGTACCTAAGACACAGTTAAATGTGTTCAATCATACTGTATAATTTCGCATGTAGCGATGAACTTTAAATTGCATCTGAAATATATATTATATATTGGGAAAGATATGTGAACCATTACGCAACGAGTTGACAATTGTTTTAGGTATGCCCGTTTGCGCTAAGACGGAACCCGGTCGCAAAAGTGGCCATGAGAGAGGCACGAGTCGCTATTCGGGTTGTCCCGGAATAACACGAGTTGGTCACGAATGCCAAAAAATGGGCCAAAAGAGAAGAGGAACCTGTTAAATGTCTTTCTGAGTGGGTTAGGTCAGTATGTGATGTTGTCATTGGTTTAACGCACAAACGTAAAAAGAAGAAACGGAATAGGAATAAACTCATTCTGTCCTAGCCAGCTGTCCTCCAAAGTCCGGAAAAGTCCGTTGTTGGTCCCAATGACATAACCATTATATGTAAAAGCATCACTACAGTAATTGTTTGATCCCATATCAACTAATGCCACAAATAGGCCAGTATGTTAACCGAGGACGAAATTTGCCCAAACCATGCATTAGTACTTTCAACTTGACTCTTAAAAACCTATTTGGGACAAGTTGAAATAATAACATGAGGATTCTCGAAAACTCAAAGCATTTGCATGACTCTTTGCAATCTCAGAAAAGAACCAAGCTCGATTCTGTCCTTTCATTTGATTTTGATTCAACTTTGTACAGCACTATCCCACATGACAAACTTAAGGGAAAACTTCATTCCTTGATTCATGGGGCTTCTGTTACAAAACGTGGTGATCACAGATACAGTAACGAATCTACATTCAGAGGTTCAGGACATTTTGTAAAAACTGAAAGCAAATGCCATCTGAAGTTTACTGAGAAAAGAATATGTGAAATGCTGGAATTCCTCATTGATAAGATCTACGTTACGTTTTTGGGTAAGACATTTAGGCAAGTAGAAGGCATCCCCCATGAGCATCAATTGTGCCCCCCTACTTGTGGATCAGTTTCTATGTGCATTTAAATGGGAATTGCTGCTCGGACTGGCAAAGTCAAAACAAGGTAATTTGGCCAAGAAGTTTACCTGAGGCTATAGGTATTTCGATGATCTAATATCGTTCAATAAAAATCAAATAGCCAATTCCCTTCCACTGATTTACCTATCTGTAATAGAAATAATGAAGACCAGTGAGACCGCCTCATCTGTTTCATATTTAGATCTGTGCATAAAGGTTCAGAATGACAAAACAATGTATGGCAAGAGTGGTGACTTCAACTTTCCAATAGTCAACTTTCCCTTCATGTCGAGCACGATTCCAGCAGCTCCAGCCTTTGGTGTTTACATTTCACAAATTTGGAGATACGTTCTATCATGCTGTTTCCACCAAGAATTCAAAGAGCGTCATACGACTCAGAAGGTTCACATACAAGGTCTGAGTGAAGCTTTCAAACAACTTTATCGTAGACATGTGGAGGATTTTCAAAATTTGAAGCATCTGTGACAAAAATTATGTCCAATGCAATTCCCTATTTTGACTTGTACCATATGTTCCCGTGCTTTTTCAGAAAAAATTACTTGCCTTTGCATGTGTTTGTGACGGGTGCTTAGGATATAGTTGGAATCGTACTTTCGACTCTGTCTTTTTCAGAGATTTCTATTTGATATGGAAACGGTTTTGTCGCTTTATTTAAGGCTGCACTTTACTTATCTGCAGCAGAATCTCTTGTGCACAGCGGATATCAGTTTTGGTTTCAACGAAATCAGTAAATGCGGATTTTCACTCCATTGTCTGGATGGTTTATGGTTAGCCGTCGCATGGCAAACAAACAAACACACACCTTTTTATGCAAATTGTGAGTGGTGGGTGTTACCGTCAGTGCAGGACATGCTTACTCTGTTCAACACGTGGTGTTGTTACTGATTTACATTGGTCCATTCAAATAGTTTTCCCCGCTATTTTGCCAATAATGCCCAGTGGAAATGTCTCGACGGATGACGGAGACTCTGGCATAATGTTTTACATTTACATGTAATGGCTTTGTTATTTAAAGCCTATTCAGGAGCAGCAACAGACCTACTTTGGATGACAAGCAGCTGGGACAGAACAGGGTTGTCCTATTATGTTTCTCGTTTTCAATTTGTGCATTGTACCAATGACAACATCCAGCACTGAGATAACCCGCTGTGAAAGACATTCAACAGGTTCATCTTCTCTACTGGCCCATTGTTGTAACATACGCTTCGACAGCATCCACATTGATTCTAAAGCTGTGTTTTTCCATCGCAAGGGAACAATATTTCAAATCATCTTCTTTAAAGGATGTTTTACTAGTATTAATTCTCGTATACTTTTTTGAAAAATGTTGATTGATATGGTTTGTTTAAACACAATGTTTTAAATTTGGTAGATTAAATTAACAAGTGCGATTGTTAGTGGCTGTATCCTCGAAGGAGGGTAAGGTACTGTAAAATTATTGTCCCCCTGAGAGGATAAGTAAGTTCCTGATCTTTCAAAAAAATTAAGAACTACCACGTTTTTAATCGTAGAATATGTGTTATTTTAATGTGTTAGGCTAACTCTGCCAATAATCGCCAACACTTGAAGGGATGATGTAAATCCTGCTGGGGTCCATGCAGGAAGCAAAAGTACTGTAAGTCCCCATGGTCCCTAGTATGGTGATCTACCTTCAATTGCTGGCGATCTATAGACCGTTTTTATCTTGTATCGTTATATATAGTGCTTTTCTTTTTAATAATTCCGTACTAGTTTAATTGTCTAGTAATTTTACTGTCCTTCGTTGGCAGGTTTTTATATAAGTTCAATTGTATTGATCATGCTTAACTATTGATAGTCACGATATGGCTGAAATATTGCCGATGTGACTTAAAATTTTAACTCACTCACTCACTCTAAAGCTGTGATTCCGATTGATAGCAGGTTGTGCATGATATTTGGTTAACATTGCAGTAACTGTTGAAGGTTATTATGGTCAACAATAGAGGATATGTAACGTCAGAGAATAAGCAGTCCGAGGAAGCAATTCATTTGGGCGTAAAAGGCAAAATAACCTGTTATTATATGGTCAACGCATTGGTATAATAATGATGAATCTTGGCAGCCACAAGTTGTCGATTTTATATCATGAGCAGGCACGTTCTGCAACATTTTCGTAAAGTTGAACAACTTGGATGTGATTGTGTTTGTATGGGGAAATAAAACTGTTGGTTGTTCCTCTAAGTGTTACTTAAACATTAGACATCAATTCCCTTTGTTTGCCAATTACAAATTCATGAACATGAGGTCTTTGTCTGTTTCACGGTTTCTGGTTTGGCCAAAGCTTTCAAAGCAATATCAAGAGCTATACAAATTTCTAAAGTGGGTGTCATCTCACGAAGCGTGCTATTGATACGGAGTCGGTTCACTTCTGACAAATTTGTGAAGTAGGTAAAATCTCACGATGTATGCTACTGGTAGGGCGGGGAGTTCACTTCTGACATTTGTCAGAAGTGGGAACCATCTCAAGACGGAAGCCACTGGTAGGGCGGGCACTTCACTTCTGACATTTGTCAGAAGTGGGTCTCTTCTCAAGACGGAAGCCACTGGTAGGACGGGCGGATCACTTCTGACAGATTTCTGAAGTAGGATAATACTCACCTATAATTTAACCACACACCTCAATTGAATAGAAAGTATTAAATAGCAGTTAGCATTGTGCATTACAGACGTGTGCTCACATCAACACAGCGGCGGAGTCCCTGGCCAGGAACCTTGCCGAGGCTGCAGGACACACAGACGCCATTTATTTGAAAGAGTAGGTGATAAGTTGATGATGAAATAAAACGAGGACGTTCAGATTATCTACCCGCCCCCCTCTTTATTCAGAATGCTCATAGGCCCATATATGCTCTTTTAAAAAGTCGGGAAAACTCGGAAGGACGATAGGGGCAAGATGGGAAATTTGATAGTTGAAACATTCATTCACTTGACGAGGCATATTTCATATGAGTCTCCCAATGGCGTTTTGAGGGTGTCTGTCCCACGTCTCTAGACGCGCCTGACAAAGTCAGGCCAACGGGTTTGACGGCCTATGACGTTGACGCGTACGTCTCCCTATTATGTCCCAGACGTGATCAGTAGAGGAAAGGCCCGTTCTTATTGCTGGAGATGGCACTCTGTGGATGTTGTGCTGGTGGATGTGAGCATTGACGATTCATGCACGGCGAGCAAAGTCGTTGTCCTGAAAGACAAAAATATCGACCCAAGTGCCTTGCAAACGGGACAGCAAATGGTGCCAGTATGTTGTCCAGATGGTACTTTCCATTGACCCTTCCTTGCACTATATGGAGTAGGGTTCACTTAGTCATAATGATACCACCACACATCATTACCGATCCACCGCCAAATCTGTCATGAGGCCTCAGGTTGACATTGGTTTGACTATCATTTCGACGTTGCCTAACACGACCACGTGTATCAATTAACATTTATGTATCCATTCTCTGAAGCATGGAGAAGTATTGACAGTGTTTTGACAGTATTGGTAAAAATATCCGACAAGTCTGACTCTGCTTTATTCATGCTGGCTTTACAACTGAAAGTTTCTTCTGCAGAAAAAACATCATTTGCTAAAAAGAATTAAAGATTAATCTAGATTCAAGACCACACCCATCAGCATAATAACAGTTCACAAGCATGTTCACCTGCTCATCGGTGACAACGATATCAATGATGTTTCTCACCAAATGCCAATGATCATTTATCCAACAGGAAACTCAATTTGAAGCATCACTTATATATTGTATAAAACCTATTTTAGGAACTATAAACAGGTGTAGCTTCTTAACCCACATGTATTTAAGTGTGGCATCAAATTCCAAGATGACAGGCAAATGCCGACTACCTACTCCTAAGTCTATAAACACTGTTTAGATATATTCAAATAACCTGGCGAGGAAATAAACAAATCGATTAAAGTACACCAGGTATATAAGCAAATTCAACTGTCAAGTCGTCTTTTAAGCTTCCATTAAGTATGTACATGCAAAAAACATAACAGATCTAAAAGAAAATTTCGAATTTTTGTACAAAGTTATCACAAATAGATCTTTCACCTACATAGACAGGGTCGTCTTCCGCAGAAAATATCCTCTTCAGTAGGACTGGATGTTTCAGGAGACTGGATGTTTCAGGAGACTGGATGTTTCAGGAGGCTGGATGTTTCAGGAGAATGGATGTTTCAGGAGACTGGATGTTTCAGGAGACTGGATGTTTCAGGAGACTGGATGTTTCAGGAGGCTGATTTCCACGTCCAACTCAAAAATTCAAATCTCCACGTATTTTCATGTATGACAATCTGATACATCATTGGTGTTATCCATTACCTCAGTTCAATGTGGAGACATTTCCAATCACAGTACAATATGTAGATCCACACGGTGGTATATAAGATGTTAGCAAGATCACATCACGATCCATATTCAATAAACTATTATATGATTTTACAGATGACGTTATATTTTTCCACAAGTATGACACAGTGTTTCAGTGCACGCGTCTTCATAAACATTGTGGAAAAATTTAGGGAAAGTGATTTATGTCTGAGAAAATTACTCAAGCATCTGTTCCAAGTTTCAAATTCAGGAACAAGTGGTCATTTTCTGATTTAGCCAAACGTTTCAAAGAAAGCACCACAACCTTCAAATCATTGGTATCATTTGGCATTCATCTTTTATTGTGACCATGGCTGCGGCGGCGTCTTTGGGATGAGGGAAATAGTCTCAATATATTGACATTTGCAGTTTGTTGCTTGGAAAGACTGGAAAAGTGTTTTATTTTGTCATAGCATCTACATGTGAGTTCTTCCATTTTCCAGTGTTCACAGATACTTGCTCATTGTACTGATTTGTCACTGCGAAAGTATTTGCTCATTTGACTCAAGTGTTTTTAGGAATACCTCTATGACAATAACAAAATATTTCACGCAATTCCTTAAAAAAGCCAGGGAAATGAAAAGCATAAATCCAAGTTTGATGATGGCTAAAAATAAACATGTCAAGATATTGTTATTCAATGGTGATGTATTTGATACGGATGTTATCGTTGTTGTTTTTTACCTTAAGTTTGCAGTGTTTACTTCGATTGTTTTTTTAGCCCAGCAAAGCTTTGATAACGTTTGTCATGTTTTGGTCCAGTCCTGTTGTACAGCGTATACTTTCCTTCTCCCGGTAGTTTATTGTTCAGTGTCAAGTGCTACCATTCCGTAAACAGGATGCCAACACCGTGGCATCGTTGTAGGTAAAATATATCACCAACATTTACTTTTTGAGTAACTGTTACGTATGTTATAGCTGAACAGGTAGCATTTTGCATACCAAAATAAGTAATATCATTGTGTGAAACTATCTTTGGAAAATAAACTCTTTCAAAGTAGACACTTTCCTCCAGGTGCAGTTGTCTAACGTGGAATCCTCTATCAAGAATTAAACAGAGGTATTAACTATGTTTCTTGTGAAGATTCTGACATACATCAACCTATGCACGACTGAAAAGGGTACGAGAGAGGATAATGAAAGTCATATCAACATTTCAGAATTTTGGTATTCTTATTCTGCAATTATCATGTTTGCACTCTTTCAGGTATTTTGTAGCTTTCGCCCTGGACACTATTGCCGGAACAGCCTTCGGTATTCAAATAGATTCTCAGAAGGATCTTTCGAACCCATTTGTTGTCAATTCGTCGAAGTTGTTTTCAAGTGGATTCGTCAAAAATAAATTCCTGTTATTGTCTGGTGAGGAAAAGGGATATCATTGAGATATTAAGGTTAAAAATATTTTTTGCTTCTGAATTGTGAAACATACAATTTGGAATGTGCTCTGCCACTATATTACATAATCATAATATAAAACGCCATTACCAGAGGGTGGGTTGGGTTTAATGGTGGTGTCAGCAACATTGCTGCCTAGATAAGGAGGGGATCCACACATTGTCTTCATGCTGACTTAAGGTAACCGGGCTAACGGGGTTTATAACTAGCAAATTGACTGTGTAATATCGTACTGTGAATTAGAATAATAATGTGTTGACATTTAGAGATTGGCGGACAGTGACGTCTGTGATAATATAAACATAAAAGTCCGGGCAGCCCTCTTGCCTTAGGTGGTACAACACGTGGTGAAGAATTATGCCCCTTATTTTGGCTTCGAGAACACTCTTGTTGTGGGTATGAGTGAGTGATTATTGCTTAAAGCTACGTCAGAAATCGTGCAGCTTTTCGCGGCAAGTTCAAGTTTCAGAAGCGTTCACTCACTGTCTGCAATGACGTGTGACATGTGTAGTTATTATAGGTTTACGTACATAGTAGAAGACGTAGAAAGTACGTGTTGTAAATTGTCTTTTTTATGAATCATTTAAACTACATCAGAAATAACAAATGTTTTAGAGATATATTTAGAAATAACATCAGAAATAACAAATGTTTTAGAGATCTATTTAGTATCAATAACGTTGATGCTCAACCCGTCGGTAATTAACATCAGAGTATATTGCGATAAAACATTGTGTCATGACGTCATTTCAGGACATAAATTATGCTCCTATAAATCAATGCAGGGAGAATAACCCACGAGGGGCGCAGTTCATAGTTCGTTGTTGTACTGATTCGACATTGCCGTTGTCGGATTGAGTCATCATTATTTTTATTCGAAAACATATTTTTGAAGCTTGTACACATGCGGATAAGACCCGTGACGATCCGGGGTAGAAAGGGTCTTCGATCAGCAACCCATGCTTGCCGTAAAAGGCGACTAACGGGATCGGGTGGTCAGGCTCGCTGACTTGGTTGATGAATGTCATCGGTCCCAATTGCGTGGATCGATGCTCAAGATATCAATCACTGGATTGTCTGGTCCAGACTCGATTATTTACAGACCGCTGTCATACAGCTGGAATATTGCTGAGTGCGGCGTAAAACAAAACAAACAAAAAATAAATAAACATGCGGATAAATGTGAACCTGAACCATTACCCCATTCCACCTGTTTGGCGTATTCGTCTTCCTCCAGCAATGTTCCCTGCTCTTAAACCTCTGCTGAAGCTGTGTGGGGTCTACACATTCACCAGCAGTGCCGTCAACTTCTACAGAGACACAGCCGAAAGAATCTATGTGCAGCGGAGACAGCTGTTTGATAAAGTAGGTATCGTCATTTACTGTTGAAAGTTTGCCTAGCTCTCACTATTTCCGTTAGATAGATGTTCTTCAACACAAAACTAAGGCGAGCCTTCCTATTGTAGACGAAGATGGATATTCTTCAACTTTTGATTGACGCTAAAGGTAACACGGTTGGGAAAGGAAAGACATCCTCACAAGCTAAACGTGAGTGAACATGCTAAGGATATTGTGATGTTTCCACAGCAATCGATCAGTAACAAAAACACTACGTAATATAGGCCATAGCCCTGGTATATGCTACCTACCCATCATCCTGAGTGGCATTGCCTAAATGCTTCAGGTTACATATGCAGAATTATTTTCATAGTTATTACTTTATATCTCCATATATCAGTCCAAAGATCAGTCAGGATCAGAGTTTGAATTGTTCCCCAGCAACCCATGCTTGTCATAAGAGGCGACTGACGGGTGATGGTGAACAGGATCGCTGACTTGGTTGATGCATGTCACCGTGTCCCAAAAGCGTAGATCGATGGTTAGAATTATTTAGTCCAGGCTCGATATCTTACACAACGCCGTCATATAGCTGGAATATTGCCGAGTGTTGCATTAAACAACTGACAAACAAACAGATATGTCAGTCCACTGCCATGTATCATGTTGGGTCCATATTACAGGCTTGTCGCCGGATGAAATATATGCCCAGGTTGTGTTCTTCTTCGGTGCTGGGTTCGAGACCGTCTCAACGTCCCTGCAGTTCATGGCCTATGTTCTGGCTACTCATCCCCATGTTCAGAGGAAACTTGTGGAGGAAATCCACTCCGAGATTGGTGATGTATGATTCAGAGAGCAATTTAAACGACACTTTCTTACCTTTTATTGAAAGCGAAAAATTCAGTTATGAATACTCGATTTTATGCTTCATTCAGTGTTGAGTTGACAAAGAACAGCTTAAAGGATGAAACTGCTAATGCTAACTCGAGTATAGCAGAGTTTCAATCAAAGTTTCGAGTATTGATCACTGAAATGCCTGGTGGTGGTTATATCTCGAGTTGAGTTTCCCCGTATCTGATGCAGGCGGGAAGCTATTTTGTAAAGCTGGCACGTCGCGGGAGATCTCGCGGACCGATATGTGGAGAAAGCACGTCGGTAAAGTGACTCACACAACTTTATGAAGTACACACTGTACCATCTGATCATTGTTGATGTCCAATTATTAATGCAGGCTCTGCAACATGACACATCTGAGGGCAAGAGCTGTCCTTCAGATTGTTACATGTCAGCAGGTGAGGTGAAATTGTGTGTGAATACTCCACTCAGACACAGTATACTGACTCCTTGTCCTTGTTTTAGCCCCTTAATGCCGAGCGCCAGACAGTAACAACAAGTACCATCTTTTGACGTCTTATGGTATGACGCGGTCGGGAATCGAACCCCGCACCTTCCGCGCTCCGGGCGGACGCTCTACCTTTAGACCACAGAGACGGTTACATTTCAGCATGTAACAGCGGAAACACTTAATTTGTCAAAGTTAGTTACCACGATCAGGACACCCTTGATCCACAACACCCATCTCGCATCGTCTCATCAGGACTACGGTTCTACAGAATCAGTAACAAACATTTAATATAACCAATGACATCTACACAGGCCTGCTTGTATTAAGAGTTTCGTGCTAGACCATTCAAAACTGTCTTCATGCAGATTATCCGCATGGATAAGTGACCCTAGAAGATCCGGGTTAGACTTGGTCTTCAGGAGCCCGTGCTTTTCATAAAAGGCGACTAACGGGATCGCGTGGTGAGACTCGCTGATTTGGTTGATGCATGTCATCGTATCCCAACTGCGTGGATCGATGCTCATGATATCAATCACTGGATTATCTGGTCCAGACTCTATTATTTAGCTGGAATAGCTGAGTGACACTATATTCCAGCCTTTCAGCCTACCCCTTGCACCAGACGCTGGTCCATGGGTATTCTTTCAAATAACAATTCTCACTTAGTCGGATTGTGACTTGCGCCAGGATAACATTATTAACATGACAAGCACTAAACCCCGATCTTTCAGCATGTTACCAACGTGACGGGCATCATTGGAAAACATCTACATCATCGTCGACAACCCTCAGCCATGCTAGCTGAACTTCGACTCCAACACGGATGGGAACGGTTATCTCAAATTTGAAAATTCATGAGGAGCATTGAATACTTTTTCTGCAGGCTTTACCCATTACCAGTGGGTTTCACTCAAGGAATTGTTCACGTGATACTTAATGTGATTTTTCAAATCCACACCCTCAAGATCTATTCATTACCAACATAGTCAATTGTATGTTCCTCTGTTTCAGGAGGAGACGACGTATGACAACATACAGAAGATAGAATATCTGGAACACTTCATCCGGGAGACCCTCAGGCTCTACCCTTCAATTCCCCTGTAATTTTTGTTTCTGTAGTTGAGAACAGGATACACGTTTACCTTCCATATTTCTACACTAGTAATAGATACAGTCACAATACATACCGTGTATAAACCACATTGACTGATCTTTGGGAGTTTTGAAACTACCTGTTCGGGTGGTCAGGCTCGCTGACTTGGTTGATGCATGTCATCGATCCCATTTGCGTGGATTGATGCGCATGATGTCAAGCACTGGGTTGTCTTGTCCAGACTCGATTATTTACAGACCGCCATCATATAGCTGAAATACTGCTGAGTGCGACGTTAAACAACAAACAAACAAGCAAACATATACATTAAATTTGAAACACAAACACCAGAAACTAATCAGTATCGATTGGATAAAATGGGAGTGAACATAAAAATTGGATCACTGAAAGTCACGCCAGCTCCTGCTTATTTTTTATTAATTTATTTGTTTGTTGTGTAACACCGCACGAACCAATATTCAAGCTATATGACGGCGGGCGTAAATAATCAAGTATGGACACAACAATCCAGTGATCGACTTAGTAAGGCTGGAATAACGCTGCCGATCCATTTGGTGCCCTCTTACGACCAGCACAGGTTGCCGGGGTCTATTTTATCCCACAATCCCTACGGGGCCAGCGACTACTACTAACGAATCCCTCTGTGGTGGTCATCAATTCGTTCCTATGGCCTCTATATGTATGCTGTTGAGCTCAAACTTGTCCAAGTGTGGTATTCCTTCCATGGAGTGAGTATGTGCACATATGCGTGTATACCTATATCTGATTTGATGTTCCTAGGGTAGCCAGGGAAACTGTGAACACGGTGGAAATCAAGGGCTACACTTTCCCTAAAGGCTCCGTGGTTGTAGCCCCAACCCTAGAAATACAGAGAGACCCAGAATATTTTGATCACCCAGATTCGTTTGATCCTGATCGGTAGGTGCATAATAGATGATTGTCAGAATATAGGGTTAACTGAACAAGTTATCATCAATAAGTTAAACACATTGCATGTCCTGAAATTCTGTTCTGTTTTAGAAAGTAGATAAGTTTACCAAAAGAGCGCATGGTGGTAAAGGAGACAGAAGTAGCAGTGGTAATTGTAGTGATGTTTGAGTTTTAAATAAGACATAGCATGTGTTACAATTGAGCAAAACATAATTATAACTCCATTATTTGTTCTTATTTCAGGTGGAAAGAGACGATTAATCCTTTGCTATGGCTTCCGTTTGGCTACGGCCCACGCCAATGTATTGCAATCAGACTGGCATTGATTGAGATGAAGATTGGGCTGATCCATGTCCTTAGAAGGGTGAAGTTTGTCAAACTGCCTGACACACCTGTAAGTACCTGGACCTTTGGATGGAGTGTTTAAGAGGCACATGTTACTCCTTGTTGCATTGTATTGTACTGTCTCGCAGCGGTAACGATACGGCTAGGACAGAATATTTGATCACTTAGGCTCTCCTTCATACGCCGAAGAGGGGACAAGACATTCACACACCCTTACAACAGGTGAATGTTTGTTGTAGACGCAGTTCACCCACACACGCACTCGCACAAATCGTACAGGCACGCATGCAAGCACACACACACACACACACACACACACACACACACACACACACACACACACACACACGAATAAAAGAAACAAAGAGAGTCGCCATAACATGTCTGGTACTCACAATAGCATCACCGAAAAGTGATCAGAGTGGATGAAACATATGTCAATGAAACCGACGCCATCACTTCACATCAGTGTACTCATTGTTTCAGGACGTCATAGAATTCGACCCACTAGCTTATGGTCGGCTGGTTCCAAAGGAAGACATCAAACTCAAGATTGAACTCCGGGGAGATCCCAGACACAACACCAATGCCTGACCTAACGCAGTGTGTAGTTACCGCATGTGCACTCACTGCGTGGTTTGAAAAATAGTTACATAAACATTCGGCCAGATCGGCACATCCTGACGACAGTTCCGTGAGAGTGAATCGATTCATCCAGGAAAGAGTTTGAATAAAACTAAACACACTACGAAATGTTCTCTTTTTACTTTTTATTGATAATCCTATCCATAATTAGGTATTGAGTACTATGTTCAGATAGATTTACACATAAGGTTAAAACATGGAGTATCTGTTAATACATCAACAGTTTCTTCGACAGACAGGATTCTCAAACCATTGGTGTTTATGACCGACACTCCAAAGTCATGATGCAAATACTGTACTCATGGCGAATTATAAAACTGTAGATTTACTATTTTAATAATATGTGATGTTTGCTTGTTTAAATGAATAGCTAGTTTCCCATACAGTAGTTCTGTAAATTGGACTTTTGTCAAGGCGATAATTACGGTGACCTCTCGGCTGAAATATACTGAACCACAAAAGAAACATCACCATGGATAGATATATGAGAAACCCGATTTGTCCAAACACTCTAAACATACTTTGAGACATATTAAAAAGATGAAACTTGGCAAAACTGGTCATCAAGGTTGAAATTAAAGTAACAAATGTTCTTAAAGTGAAACACAACACTAGTCTCTGAGAAAATGGCATCACAAGTCAGTATCTCGTGTGTCCGCCATGTGCATTGATGACTGCCGTGCAACGTCGATACATGGAATGGATGAGGCAGTTGATGAAGGCCATAGGCACTTGAGCCTACACTCTGAGGAACGCCTGACGCAGTTCAGGTGCAGTTGTCGGCCTTGGTCGGAGGTCGTTCAGCCGTCTTTGAATCTCGTCCCAAAGGTGCTCAATGGAATTTAAATCGGGACCAAGGGCAGGCCACTTCATGGTTCGGATGCCATTCTGCATTGTGTTGCTGTCGCAGTGTGGGTACGGGCGTTATCATGCTGAAACTCGTGGTTGCGGCGACGTGCCAAATAATGAGGAATGGCGTGTGGTCTCAAGATTTGATCAATGAACCGAGCTGCTGTGACACCATTGCCTCTGCCTGAACCGATGCTCTGGAAGACCACAGGGCCGACCCTCTGTGCAAGACCAATTCCAAGAAATGGGAGAACGCATGTGCATTTCAATTTGCACGGAACTCACGTGCATTGGGTTACCATGGCCGTTGCCGTGATGCGTTTTGGCGATCCGTTTTATTGTCATCTGCTTTCAATGATTTCAAAAGTTTAAGAAATACTTTAATTGAACCACACTAGGATTAAGTCGGTTTTTCAATGTGTTTAGTTATTGGAAGAAGAAAATGACTTGAAACTTTAATGAATAACTTATTTCATGTTTGCATGACGTTTCAGGGCTATTTCTTCCCCCTTCATCATATGACTACTGAATAAATGCATATTGAGTCCATATATTTTCGCAAAAAAAAAAATAATGTTCACATTTGGTGCGAAAAGCAGACCAAGAAGAAAGAAGGCTGAACGGAACACTGCTGTGACCATAATCCGCCTGGTAGCACTTCCGTAGCACTTCTGGGAACTGGTCAGTCACATTGGTTATCACCGTCTCCATCCATGCAAACTGCAATATATACAACAACACTTAGGATCTGCGCTCGAATGGTATTGCAGAAGTGAATATTGAACCCCAGGGCTTTCGAGTTTAGTTTCTACCATACAGTGGTCCTTCAATATTGCGCTCTTTGATAAAGCACCATCTCGGTTACGGCGCGCGGTAACGCATGGCTCACAAAATTTATGTACATTTTTAATACTCAAAGTCTTACACAGACATGATTGTATTGTTGTTCATTTTTCTCATTGCATAATCAACCATTTATCGCTGGACTGATTTCTAATAATCTGTTTGAAAATGTTGGGTTCTCAGGGAGGAACGACAAACGCGGGAGTCGGGAGTCGGGAGACGAGCCTGCCAATTGACCGGCCGTTTATTCAAGACTGTAGCATGTTACAAAACAGCACGTGATTGTGCTTACCTTCAACTAATCACATTACAAGAGCGGACATCTGTTGGCCTATCATAACATTATACACTAGCTAGTTTAAAACTACTGTGTTTCAATTACAGATATTACATCCGCCCCTTCTAAATTTAAGTTACTTTGAAACAAAAATAATAACCTTTGATAAACAACATAGTCCACGGAACTTCATAAAGTATAAGCAACTTAACAATGTACACTGACCCTTGTAAAGTACTAATAACCCTGATAACTTGATAAGTTACAGTCATAATAAAAACATTGTTAAAGTCAAAAGTGAAATTCAACTAAACTGAGTTCTTTAGACACATTATAATACTGATAGCCTGCTGAAGTATTATAGTCCTGATACAAGTAACTGTAATTCACAGCTGAATCAAATGCCACCTTGACACATAGTTCACTGCAAGTGACAGTCACAGCTCACTCAAATGTCACTTTGACACAAAGTCTCTCAGTTAAGACGTTTGCTGCTTCGCTCTGGTTAAACGACGAAGCATGGGTGCTACAGGCGACGTCACTACCGGCGTTTCCTCCCCCGATTCAGACATATCTGGTACACTTGAAACATCCCCTGGGATACTTTCCTCATGGGAATCTACCTGTGATGTGCCAGGTCAGTCTGATTCATACTCCTTCCTTCGTGAAGACTGCGATTCTAGCGGAGTATCTGAACGTTCAGTCACATCACTTTGGGGTGAAGATAAAGACATCCTGCGTCTGACATGATCCACATGCCTTCTGACCAATCTTCCATCCGTTACCTTGATGATGTACGACAATGGACCAGTTACACTATCAACTTGTCCACTAATCCATTTTGGACCTGAAGCAAAGTTCTTAACCCACACTGAGTCATTCACTTGGAATGCCCTACATTTCGTTAGAGCTGACTGATCCACAAGTTTTCTCTAGTTCTTTTTCACCTTTGAGGTAAGGTTTGGAAACATCAAGTCCAATCGCGAACGCAATCTGCCTCCAAGAAACAACATTGAAGGTGATACACCAGTTGTAGACTGTGGTGTAATTCTATAAGAAAATAGTAACCTATGTAGTTGAGTTGCAACTGTGTCACCAGTTGTCTTCTTTAATCCATCTTTTATTATTTGAACCGCCCTTTCTGCTAAGCCATTCCAAGCTGGGTGATGAGGGGATGTTAATAAATGTAGCAAATTCTTCCCCAACAAAAGCTGTAGCATTATCAGTTACAATAATTTCTGGTATGCCTTAAGCTGCAAACATCCTACGCAGCTGGTTTATGGTAGCCTTTGCATTTGATCATGGTGACGACATAGGTGCACATTCAATCCACTTAGAGTAGGCGTCAATCACTATAAGAAACATGCTACCCATGAATGGACCAGCATAATACATATGCAGTCTTTGCCAAGGTTGAGAAGGATACTCCCAAGGGTGTAGAGGAGCTACACTTGGACAATTCCTTTCTTCCTGGCAGGAATCACAACTGTTTACTGTTGTTTCTATGTCAGCATCTAGATGCGGCCACCAAACATAGCTTCGGGCCAAGCCCTTCATCCTGGTGATTCCTGGGTGGGACTGATGCAACTCTGACAATATGACAGATCTGAGTTTCAATGGAATGATGACCCTTGAACCTCTCAATAAGCATCCGTCCATCACACTGAGTTCAGAACGAACTCTGTAGTACGGCTCATAGTGGTCATCCAACTTGTCACGCTGTGACCTACATCGGATCACAAATTCTCGAACAATAGACAATGTTCGGTCCTTGCCATTCTGGATACTTACGTTCGTAGACTTCAGAGGGCACGTGTCCAATTCCTGAAGCATTAAGATTGTCATCTCTTCCATAGCCTTCCCTGAGTCAAGCGCTGGCAACCTGCTCAATGCGTCTGCATTGGTATGCTGTGTACCTTTCCTGTGTACAATTTTATAGTCATATGCAGTCAACAATACTGACCATCTCTGAACTCTTGGAGACACCATCTGGGGCACTGGATTATTCTCACTGAATAATGACAACAACGGCTTGTGATCTGTCAGGATCTGGAAAAACATACTTATGAAGCTTTCGCAGTCCAAAGATCACACTCAGTCCTTTATGATCAAGCTGAGAATAATTCTGCTCCACCTTAGTCAGTGTCCTTGAAGCAAAACTTATAGGTCTCTCCGAACCATCAGGCAGTTGGTGAGCCAACACAACACCGACTCCGTAGGGGGATGCATCACACTGCAGTAAAAGTGGCTTGGAGCTGTCAAAATGAATCAAGACATCCAGAGACTGAAGCAAGTTCTTCGACTTCTCAAAAGCGTTATGTTGAGATGTACTCCATGACCATTTCACTCCTTTTTTAGCAACTTGTACAATGAGAGAGTGACAGGCAGATTTGGAAGAAATCTGTGGTAGTAGTTCAGAATACCAAGATAAGCTCTCAATTCCTTCACATTTTCAGTCACCTTAGCTTCCTGAATTGCAGCAATCTTTTCCTCCACTGGATGTAAACCTTTCGCTGTCCAGTCTATAGCCAAGATATTCAACTTCATCAGCCATAAAGACACACTTGTTTCTTCTCAAACGTAATCCAGCTTCTGACAATCGATGAAGTACTTCATCCAGAATACGAAGATGCTCACTGTCGTCAATTCCAGAGTTTATGATATCGTCGAGATAACCCGCTGAGTAATCGAGTCCCTGTATAATACTTTCAATCATCCGTGGAAAGATAGCGGGTGCCAAATGATACTCCAAATGGCAATCTTGTGTACCTAAAGAGTCCTTTGTGGGTGTTAATCACGACATATTTTCGCGATTCTTCATCCAAGACTAACTGTTGATACGCATGACTCATGTCAAGTTTGGTGAACTTTACACCCCCAGATAGCTTCGTGCACAAATCTTCCAACGTCGGTATTGGATATTGCTCCAATCTTGAAAACTGATTCACTCTCAGTTTAAAATCTCTACATATCCCGACAGAAGAATCAGGTTTAATGACTGGCACAATGGGACACGCCCTCTCAGAATGCTTGACTGGCTCAATAATGCCTTCACTCAGCAAGCGTTCAACTTCTATCTTCTAACGTAATGCATACGGCACAGATCTAGGTTTGAAAAACTG